GTAGTTACCACAATAATACTTATATAATGAAGCCGTAGTTACCACAATAATACTTATATAATGAAGCCGTAGTTACCACAATAATACTCATATAACGAAGCCGTAGTTACCGCAATAATACTTATATAATGAAGCTCTAGTTACCACAATAATACTTATATAACGAAGCTCTAGTTACCACAATAATACTTATATAACGAAGCTCTAGTTACCACAATAATACTTATATAATGAAGCTCTTAGTATTATTGTGGTAACTACGGCTTCGTTATATAAGTATTATTGTGGTAACCTACGGCTTCGTTATATGAGTATTATTGTGGTAACTAGAGCTTCGTTATACGGAAGCTCTGGTTACCACAATAATACTCATATAATGAAGCTCTGGTTACCACAATAATACTCATATAATGAAGCTCTTGTTACCACAATAATAGTCGTATAATGAAGCCGTAGTTACCACAATAATATTCAGCACTAGCTTTACCTCTCTATGTTGGTATTACCCCTCTGACTGGGTGATGTCTGGTAATCCCTGTCGACAATGTAATAGCAGAGTGACCTATCATGTGATGACACAATTCAAGACAAAAAGAAAATCGAGATTTCTAGAGAGCCGTAGATCTGGTTTCAAGAAAGTTTGATTCTGTACGTGTTTAGATCTCCACGAATTCATCCACAGAGACGCAAGCCTAAAGTGCTCCGTCTGTATATATTCAGCACTTTTTCATAAAAACCTTATCTTGTCGAATCTCCTGTTATTAGCGGGCCTATCTTATACTCTCGAATTAATTCACTTCACCTGAATATAAGTTTGGTTTCATCACTTTATTCTGTACCGGTTTCCACAAAGAAGAGTTTATGTTAGGTCTAAAATGGCGAAGTGTGATTGGTTGGTTGATGATACGCGTATTATTACGTGACAAAAAAATGTATAATTGTAATCATTTCATGTTTGTTGTTAAATGGGATATCTGTGCTGTGTCTACCATGAGCATCGAAAACCAGTTTCCAGCGTTATAAGTTCACTGACTTACCGATACGCCACTGGGGAGCGATTATGTCAAATTTGGTTTCAATATTCGTGAAAACTACATACGGGCTATCAGCGTTAACCATTCCTAATTTTGAATTGATAGACTAGAGAAAAGTCAAGAGCACCGTCCGCCAACATCACGACTACTTTAATCGAATAAGAAGATTTGGCTTTTGGTTTTAAAAAGTTTTCTTCAATTTGTCTCTTTAAAAAAAACAACAACTGACAAACGTGTTACAGGAAGTTCTTTTAATTAGACGTATTTATCCCTACATTACTCCAAGCCTATTTTCGTTGTAATTGTTTAAGTCTAACACAATACGAACTTCGCTTCTATAATAAAAGCGATTATTGCAAGCCTATTTTGGTTGTAATTGCTTAAGTCTAACACTATACAAACTTCGCTTCTATAATGAAAGCGATTATTCCAAGCCTATTATGGTTGTAATTGGTTAAGTAACACTACTCGAACTTCGCTTCTATAATAAAAGCGATTATTCCAAGCCTATTTTGGTTGTAATTGCTTAAGTCTAACACTATACAAACTTCGCTTCTATAATGAAAGCGATTATTCCAAGCCTATTTTGGTTGTAATTGCTCAAGTCTAACACTATACGAACTTCGCTTCTACAATAAAAGCGATTATTCCAAGCCTATTTTGGTTGTAATTGCTCAAGACTAACACTATACGAACTTCGCTTCTATAAT